CCTTTAGCCCCCCCCCCCATTCAAGACTTCTAGATACGCCACTGTATCTGTCACAGGCGATCCATGCCTTTTGCATGAATCAAGCATCTTATTCAACTCGTACAGGATATTGTCAAGAACGTTTTAGGCACGAATGACGATAATGATAATGACGTATTCGTATTTGTTATCGTTTTCGTAAGGTTGTGAAATCGCCCTACATAGAAACACGGACAGGAGGACGCGTCATTTTGCCAGTGGTATTGCAATCGTTTTTTTAACCCATGTATCAACACGCCGCGTAGATATAAATGGTGGCGATTATCTATTTAGACTAAGCTTAATCTTATAACCAAGTGACCAATCCAGCTTTATATTTCGGATAAAGAGTCACAATATGACTTATAATTCTTTTTATTAATTGTTTTAGGTTAGGGGAAATTTTATTGCCAGTAATTCTGGTGATGATGACGCCACACCCATAAATCTAATAATGTTTCAAGCTTAAATTTGTGTTACAATTAAATAGAAACCTATTAATTTAAAGATAAAATTGTATAATTCCTTGTTGTTATAATCGCGGCGAATGGTAGCTGTCGGTAAACCATTATTAACCCTGGAATTATAAATTAATTCAAGTCATATGACGTCTTTCTACCCTCCCATATTTTTTATATTACATTTGTGTCACAATTAAAAAGAAACCTATTAATTCGTCATTTTTGACTCAATTTGTAAAATAAAAACAATTAAAAAAAGTAATTTAAGTTCTATTTCCGGGCATCCAGAGAGGTACAAAGATGTGCACATCCAACCATTGTGACGTTGACGTGGTCCAACCATTGTGACGTTGACGTGGTCCGGACTCTCTTTCCAGCAACCCCTTCCTTAAATTCTGGATAATACGCCACTGAATCCATGCTTAAAATGTCTGTTCAAAAAACTAGTGCTTTTCCCTTATATTGTTTTCTGTTTTATTAGGCCTAAACTTTTAATATAATTATGCTTTACATGTGAACCACATGGACGATCTGGGCCACCTCTCACAAATCATCCAGGCTCGGACTGTGTGGTTTATAAGTTTTGCACCTCCCGGCATCAAATAGAATAGACATAGGTCTTCGATTGGACCTTCGGGACTCAGGGGAGGGGTGTCTACGGGAGGGGGAGCAACTCGATTCTACCTGGGAGAATTAAGCAAATCATTTTGTCGAGGAGCTCTACTTACCGCCGAGAGAGTGGTGTCTATAAAACGAAGACCGAATACCGGAGACCCCAAAAAACGAAGACCACTATTTTTTCTCTTTTATTTTATTGATAATACACCAGGCTGTCACAAAATCAAAATTACGAGATTATTTGGACGTCTTTTGTTAAAATTTTCAATGGTCTTCATTTTATAGACACCCTCTACAAAACCTCGAAATGATTTCGTTCCCTCGAAATATTATTTCGTTCCCTCGAAATAGTTTAATATTTTCTTTAACCATGTTCCTTTAGGGTCTCCGTAACAATCTAACAATTATAGTATAATATAAATTAAAAAGTGGCTATAGAGGGCTCTAAACTCTTTCATGCGTTTACATAAAGATATGCGTTTCTTGGCGCGTTAACTCAATCGGTAAATGCGTTTCTCTGGGGCACAATTAGATCTCATCTATGCGACTGCGCCGTCTCGATCGACGTCTCTCTGGTGGGAAACGACGATAGAGACTCGATCTGTTTTATTTGTGTGTGAAAATGGCCGTTCAGTTGAGTTCTCCTCAGTCTGGAGCTCAACTTCGATCTTTAGAAAAAGTTCTCGACGATGCCCATAGGTCTGGCCGATTGAATTTGAGTAGTAGAAAAATAAGGGACTTTCCTAAAGTTGCTGATAAATATGACTTAAGAGACACGGTCGATGTCGGTAAGTTTTTCAACCACGTACAGTCACTTCGCTGATGATTGTGGGGACTACACAGAAACATGACACTCAGTGGCCTAGCCTACTTCTTGAAATGCGGAAGTCAGAGCCATGTTATTTTTTGAACTGAAGTTTAGACCCCAAAGAATAATATACCTACTACGGGATTATTATTCTCACAACATTTTATACCGTTTCACTTCTGTAGAATTTAGATTAGATTCAAAATATTCAGTTTATGAATTGTTGACTGGGTATGATGACCATGGCCTAAACTAACCTATCATAACAACACACTCAACAGTGGCCCTAGGCCTACTTTGTAGTCGGCCTGTTTTTAGTATTTCGCCCTCTTAGGATCAAATCATGTGGGCTAGCATTGGCTTAGATAATTATTTGGTTTGGTAACCAATCATTGAACCTCCATTTGAATTTTTTATTAACGTAGTTTAATATAAAAACTTATTAATTACAATAAAAAGTATAATTATTTTATTTATTTATAATTTTCATTCTCATTAATATATTGATATGGATAATCATATTTTTATTAGGCCCAAAAATCTTGTCAATATCTGCCAACTGTGTGAAATTGCCTGGTTCTATTTTTAATTTTTAAATCTGAGAGGTGTCATCTGAATATTTTTTTTAAGCAGTATTATTCGATGATTGTCTATAGGCCAGTTTGCTCAGTCTTGTGTGGGCCAATTTTCATGGCTGTTTTGGTATGTATAACTGGAAAAATTAAGCTGTCATTTACAAGCAAAACATTGGAAGTTAGATTGGTATTGTCAGAACGCCCATTTCTTCAGAGACGCTGACTCAAACTGACAGACATCAACTAATGGAAAAAATAGGCAACAGTTTGAGATTTCGGGCAAACAAGATTGATACTACACTTGGTTCTTTATCGTAGACATTTATTCCTTGAGTATACAGCCATAGATTTGTTAATACAAATTGTTCATTTGGATGTGCTGCCCCATCAATCAATGCAGTATCTTGTAAACATCATTTTTCAGTCAGTAATTCACAATTTATGCTTTGTCTAAAAATAAGGAGCCATGTCTTAACTCTGGTACTAAGATTACAGGTAAATGGTCCCATCACTTATTGACACAGATTAATTGTACAATTATCAGTTTCTTAAAATCCAGAGCATGAAACTACAGTAGTTCTTATTCAGTTCGAATTTATCGTTTTATCAGCCTTAATTATGCCCTATTCACTGAAACTTTGGTGCTTCGTCCCTATGGGTTGGGAGGGGGTTTCACCTTTTCTGTGCCTCAGTTGGTTTGAGAATTGTTTAACCTAAGCCACCCTGGGTTCAGACTTGACTTAGTGTTAGTAGACATACTACTACATAGTAGTCTAGTTCTTAATAGACCCTAAACATGATTTAAAGCATTAAACTACTATTCTTTGTAAATAAAGTTAAGTAATCTTGAGGACCATGACAGGAAAGATAAGAGAATTAATTAGCATTACCCTCAACATTAGTACGATTTTTTTATATTGTGCAACCAAAGCATGAAACAGCCTTCCAAATGAAATTAAAACAATATTTAATGAACTTTCTATACAGTCGTGTAAAAATCATTGAAACGATATAATTTAACACTATTTAATCACTCTTTTTCAGACAAAATATTGAATCAAAATTTAACAGATATTTCTTTTTGCCTTTTCCTTTTCAATTTTGTTTAAATTTAGTAAGTTTTAAGTAAAGTAGTTTTCGATATAGTAGTTTTATATTTATGTACATATTGTTTTTACTCATTAGTTGCTTTTCTTTTATTCTTTTTACCTGTGATACCAGTCCTGCGTCACTGAAAGTGTAATCACACAAAAGACAGATTAAAGTAAATAAATCTGCAGATAGTTTTGATTGAATAACCATGGAGGTATATAAAATTGAATTTTATACCTCATGGAATAATCATCAGTGATGCATTATCATAAATTTGTAATGGTTTGTCTTTGGAAATAATGTATATTTTTTATCTTATCATTTTTGTTTTAGGCTAGATATTTAAGATGAAAACAGAAAAAAAAAATGCCAAAAAAACGAGCTCAGTGTATTGATGATGAAGATTAAATTAAACAGATTTATTCAAACAAATAAAGAAACCCTAATAGTTTATATTAGAAACAAATATACATAAATCTAACTAAGTTAAATTTCATTCTCTACCAATTTCCTCCATATATTAAAATAGCAACATGACTGAGGCTATGTATTTTGTAATTTACACTGACGAATCTAACGACGTCCAAATCCGAATTAAATTTCAGGTTACTAAAAAGAATCACCTGCAGAAACATGCTTTGAGTTTTGTCTGGTGGAAATTGGAAGGTTTAACTTTCATTTTATTTAACATTTACTGGCGTGTCATTTTAATCAATTTATTATAATTTCCATGTATGACAGTTTGTTTGCATGGTATCTGGTAGGCCTATGCTGCTTGTTATTTCTTATTACGAATGTTTACATAAACTGATCGTCTGGTTTTAGAAGTTGATTTTTTTTGTTTGGACCGAATAATACGTTCGGAATTAGGAAATTCCGATTTTCAGAATACATGTATTATTTTTAAGTAGTATAATAACTATGTTTTAAACAACGAAATCGCTGAAGAAATATCGTTTTAGTGTTCTCTTTTGCGTGGGAACTATACTTTCAGGGTGTCATGTGCAGGCAATACCTGAGTGTTTGCTTCAGAACTGCCCATGCATGTCCATGCGCATGCCCAGAACGATTTATCTATCTGGGATTTTCCACATGAACTTGACAGTGTCTGTAAAATGTGTTCAGCACATGTGGTGAAAATAGGGTCGCTTAGCGAGGCGATATCTTCGCTGCTCGAGATGGTAGTTATTTACGAAGAGCCAAGAGCCTAGCCTTAGCCTAGACGAAGATTAAATTTGTTTACAGTACATAAAAATTTGCTTTCGCCATTTTGGTGAACGATGCAAATTTTTTCTTCGCCTAAACAGTATTTCAATCCGCCATTGGCGAATGGCTAGCGTAAGCTTAACCTTAATGCTCGTGTTTCGCAAGTTGTTTACGTCACATTAAAACTAAAGCATTCCCTCAGTTGTGTACCGCAGCGCAGTACTTTTTACATAAAAAATTACAGCATCCCTACAGTTCTGTACCGCAGTGCTCCGATCTACAAAAGACTGCGAAATAATCTGTTTGATTGGCCCAGTACTGATGAGCCGATAGGTATTTTCATGGTGTGCAGTAGTGCTGCCAGCTGTCCTAGTAACGGAGTACCCATTGCATTAAATACTGAATAGTTTCTTCCTTTATTCAAATTCTTCACACTTCAAAAAAACAATTACATTGGAAATTATAATTAGGTATCGTGGAAGGAAAATTGGGTAGTGTGAATCAGCAATGAATCCGGGATGTTTTAAAAATAGATCATGTAAAAATACAAGTATAGCCCTGTGTCTGGTCGAGGCATGATATAGGCTACAGGCCTAATAATTTTGCCTGGGCCTCTATTTCAAATTCTTAGATCTCCCACTGCCAATAACACAAGTGACAGCAAACACTTTACAGAAATACGTTAGACAGACAATTTTTATATGAAACTATAGTTATTATTCACAGATACTGTAGTTAGATATTCTAAAGATAAACTATCGAAGAATGTGATGATTTTGGGATATTAGCTTTTGTTAAATTAAATTTTACGCTATTTTATGCATACTACAGTACTGGGAAGAAAAGTGTGTTTTCAACACCATGGCCTTTAACACCCGAGGGCGAAACAACCCACATCCATTCTAATAAAAGGCTATAAATGGTTTATGAGGTTGTGTTAAGATAGCAAAACTGAAGTAGGATCAAGTCAGCGCCACCAAGTAACACCTCAAATTTACATAAACCCATCGTAACAATATCCACAGCCTATTTTGTTAGTTATAGGCTTAATCCACCTACTTCAATCTATAATAATATTTATTTCATGCCCAACTATATATGTTGCATTTTCATGCTCAAGAGGGTACTGTCTGTACTCCAATGTATAAAAAAGGACTGTTTATAGGTGGACACTCATGCAAAACATTATCTATAAAGAGGTCCTTTAGAAAAATGGTTGACAAGGTAACTGTAACATCCTCAATGATTGCCTCCTCAACTTCCCATAACATTCAACTATAGGCCTATGCCTAGCGACCTTTCCACACTCATTTAATACTGTGGGGAGACACGGGTACCTGTACATGCTAGTAATAATAATATCTTTCGATGAAAATGTTTAATTTTTTTCTGTATACATTGGAACATCACATTCTGTAAAAACAAAAATGAATTGGGCGTTTTCAAGTTGGCCTGAAACAGTATTGCAATTTTTCTTTATCTGTAATATGAATATTTTCATTTTTTTTCAAGTACTACTGTAGATACATTTGATACAACCATGTTCACTAAGCTAGGTTAGGTAAAAAATAATTTTAAAATTTTGTTTAATCATTCTGCTTTCCAAGATGGAGATATTTTAATAATTTCAAAGCATGTATAATGAGAAAGGAAGTGAACATTTCAATTCATCCTGTTGCCCTACAGTAATTCATTTAAATGCTTTATTATTATGCTAATCCTATTTTGTTTCATCAATTAATATACCTACACAACAATCACTAGAATTAGCAAGCTCAATTCATAGTATGGAGAATGCCTGTTTGTCCCAATCGATGTGAAGCTTCATTTAGTTTTAGAATTTTAATGAGCATTTGGCTCCAAGGAACAATCTGCAGATTGCAGTCTAATTGAAAAGGTATGGATTGTGTATCTGTAAAGGATGGAAAAAGCCCACGTAATAATATGGAAGAATAACATTGTTTAAAAAATGTGCCGGGGATGTTACACGCACATTTTTTACGGTTGTAGAGAACATAAATAGCATTTTCAGCGCTTTAATAGGTTCTTTGATCCATTAAAAAGCGCTATTTATTTTTTTAACAAACGCCATTATCACTCTTTCGAC